GGTTGGACTCACTATACTCGAGTGAAGGCATCCGTCGACGCTAGTACCTGGGAATGCTGTTCCTACAAAAGACTTGTTGGAAGTTGAAATTGAAGAGAAAAATCTCATAGTGGACTCTGAGCAGGATAAGAGCTTACAATTGTAAACTAACCTTTTATTTTCACAGGTAACTAACGACTGTGACTTGTGATTGAAGAGAAAGAACAGACCTATAGCGAATTGCAGTGCTCCCAAGGGGGGGTTGTTATAGTAGTAGTGTACATCTTATTTTTTTGTATCGATAATTATTTGGAAACCTAAGGTTTAAAAATAATGACAGGGAAAAATTGATTACTAATTTTGTTTTTAGTGATTCTAGGCCTCAGAGAAGGCCTCGGTCAATTGGCAACTTGGAAAAGGCATGACCAGATAATAGCAAAAAACGGGATACCCCATCAAAATATGGGTGACTGTGACAGAGGGTTATGTACCACATTCTGTCACGTTTGATGTTTGTGAGGTGTTAGCTTGTGGAGATTTAAATGCCCAACGACAATTGAGCAGAGAGAACAAATAACTGGGAGAGACCCAACAGCCAGATTGAGAATAGCTGTATGGAAACAATCCTCTACTTGCCATCAGAGAAAGGGAGAAACTCAAGGAGAAAACAGGAGAGAAAACAGGAAGCCCTCTGAAATGTGTCAGTTCAAACAAGGTATGGGGATGTGAATGCCTGGATAGAATGGGTCAAATATACCGTCCAGAGTCTCAACCGTAGCTACTGCTATGCTTGTGCCTCGGGATGACTGATTGCCCAGATAGTGCCCTTCCCATGGGGGTGGACCAAAGACTCCCAAGGGATGCGATGTATGATTGCATTGTACCAAGAAAAGACTGCCTGGGGAAATGAGGCCTGTAAGTCTCTCTTTGCTGTTCCTTGCATGATAACAATATCACGGTTCCCCCTGCATTCTCTACAGCTATAGGTAACCATACAGCTTGCCTCTCACGGCAGGGTGTGAGTGCTACCTGGCATCTGGGAGAATTTGCCTTGTGCTATCAAGGACTTGATGGGAAACTGCTCAAGACTAGAGATCCCCAGGGCAGATCTCTGGTGGTACGGTGGAGGGAAGATCTTACGGTCCACCCTACCATCTAATTGGGAAGGCACTTGTGCACTTGTTCAATTAGCTATACCCTTCACCCTGGCATTTGAAAGAGAAACATCACAAATACCCAGAAGAAGTAAAAGAGGCTTAGGAATATCATTTGATGATAGAGTATACATAGATTCTATTGGGGTACCTAGAGGAGTTCCAGATGAACATAAAGCCAGAAATCAAATTGCTGCAGGGTTTGAGTCACTGTTCTGGTGGGTAACAATCAATAAAAATGCGGATTGGATTAATTATTTCTATTATAATCAGCAGAGATTCATCAATTATACCAAGGATGCGATGAGAGGAATCGCTGAACAACTAGATGCCATCAGCAAAATGGCTTGGGAAAACAGGATAGCATTAGATATGATGCTCGCAGAGGAAGGAGGTGTGTTTGTGTGTGTAATACTGAGCAACCATTGTTGCACTCTTATACCCAACAATAGTGTCCCAGATGGCTCAGGTAACAAGAGCATTGCAAGGGCTTACCACCCTTGCCAGTGAATTGGCAGAAAAAAATAAAATAAAAAAAAAATAGGCATATTTGCAACATTGATCGTAGTTGTAGGAGTTTTGACAGCCATTGGTTGCTGCATTATCCTCTGTGTAAGAGGACTAGTACAGTGGTTAACTGAAACCGCACTATTGAAACAAATGACCATGGAGCTACCACCTTACTCAGATAAGGAGATAATGAGGAGATGGAAAGCAAGAAAGCAAAGAAGAGAAGTCTATCAAATTGCACCTTAGAGAAAGGTTTTGCAAAAATCAACAGTTTATAAAAAAAAGAAAAGGGGGGAATTGTGGGAATAGAAATGTTGTTTTTGCAGAGTTACATTGTTTAGAAGGAGGGAATGTGGTACTGAGATATGCTTACAGTGATGAGAAAGTTTAGCAGGCGACCTAGTGAAATTGCAGACACCAGACTCCTTAGGACAAATTAGGTGAAAATCACGGTGTCAAAAGTCAGATAAGTGAAGACACATTACCACTTCAAGCAGTAAAAATGTCAAAAGAAATTTGAAATTTAACAGGCCGGCAACTGAAGGCCATGCATTGTTTGTGAAGCATCAGATAGATTGTGAACCTGGATTACCCACTCAGTGGGGAAACAGGGGAGGGTCCTGCCATCAAAAGTATATAACTGTGTTTTGGAACTAGTAGATGCGCTCTCTCCTGCTTGTGGGGCGCCCGCCATTGCAATCGCGAATAAATTACTACTTACTGAGATCCTCGCCTGAGCCTAAGTTATGGCTACAGTGAGTGTTTCACACACTACCTCAAAAAAAAATTCCTGTGTGTGGCCACCCAAGGGTGTCCATACAGAATCATAATTCATAAGAAAAAGAAAGAGATGACAGTTTCCCTTTAACAGGGAGGAGGACAAGTCCTCCATTTTCACTCGTGTGTGCCCCTGTGATATATGTTCATCTGATTCGTGTCAGTATGGAACAGTGTTAGGGCCGCATGGTATGATGAATGTGACCTTCTGTCTTACATACCCTTGTATAACCACAAGTCTAAGAAAAACAGAATGGTTAATGTATATAGTTCTTGTACCTTGCAAAGGAATATTTTAACAAGTCGTGTCACTAGAGAGCAGTTCTGTCTGTCTCTGGGTCCTGCACTGGCAATTTAATTCTTCCACAGATGTAGTTTCTTCCCTTTCCTCCCAGTGTCCCAGTCTCCCCCTCATTATAGTCAAATTATCAAATCTTCAGAAATATTCCTCAAATCCATGAGCCTATTTGCTTTTGTTATTCTGAACTCTTATTTCTAACAGTTACAGACTTTTTTGTCTTCTTTGTGGTTGATTTAGCACTGCTATAGGTGTGACTGTCCCTGTGAATGGCCTGTGAGGAATGTTTTAACTACTCGTGGAGTGTCAATAAGAGAGCTATTTGTGTTTGTATGTTCTTTCTTTGAAGTCTCTGATGTCTGGGGTTTTCAGAACAACTGCTAACAACTAGTAACTGTTATGGCTTCTGAATGGGACACTATGCAAGCCCCTGATATCTGGCCAGGTGGCCAGGAGATTAAGGAGAAGAAAAAAGAAGCTGAAGGATGGCTAGGAGACAAAACTTGCAGGGCACGCTGTGTAAGCTTTTGACATGCTGCCAAGGAGTACAAAGGGGAAGGACAAGAAAAAAAAAAAAAAAAAAAAAAAAAAGAGGAAGACTATGAGCCTTCAGCACGAAAGACCCCCAGAGACCCCCAGGGGGACCACCAGAGACTGATACGCATGCTCCAGTAAGAGGGTTTGGATCCCAGAAGTTAATTATAATAACCCGTTTTTTTTAGAAGTAGTAATGAATATGTATTAGCCTAGGAGCATAAAATCAGCTACCGGATGTAACTGGTGTGCGTCCTGGTGGAGCGGAGACTCCCGGCGCACCCAGCACTATTTGCTTACCTCTATTCCTTTAATAACTTGTAAACTTTGATTACAATCCTATTTTGAAGACTGAGCCATTTATAACACCCCCACTCCTATATGACCCCCTTTCCCCTCACCAGTTCAACTCCTGTGTGCCCGCCAGACCCCCGTTGTCACTTACATGTGCCCCCCAACGTGCAGCCCCATGTCCCCCACCCCAAGCTGCTCCCCCCACATCTCCCCCACAGTTTGCAGAATCACAGAGTTGTAGGGGTTGGAAGGGACCTCGAGAGCTCATCGGGACCAACCCCCCTGCCAAAGCAGTTCCCTACAGCAGGCTGCCCAGGTAGGCCTCCAGACGGGCCTTGAATATCTCCAGAGAAGGAGACCCCACAGCCTCCCTGGGCAGCCTGTCCCAGCGCTCCGGCACCCCCTCTGTGAAGAATTTCTTTCGCCTGTTGGTGCGGAACTGCCTGGGCTCCATTTTGTGGCCGTTGCCTCTTGTCCTGTCCCCACAGACCTCTGAAAAGAGGTTGGCCAAGTCCCTCTGTCCCCCACCCCTCAGGTATTTACACACATTGATGACATCCCCCCTCAGTCTTCTTTTCTCCAGGCCGAACAGCCCCAGGTCTCTCAGCCTTTCCTCCCAGGGGAGATGCTCCAGGCCCCGTATCACCTTTGTGGCCTCCGCTGGACTCTTCCCAGATCCCGGTCTGTTTCGTACCGGGGAGCCCAGAGCTGGACCCAGGACTCTTGAACTGGATTCAGTCCTCAGCACTGGATACAGTACAGTTCTCCCTGACTGTGTGCTCCGGGTGTCCCCAGCCCCATGTGTCCCCTTAGCTCTGTGTTGTTCCCCCCCCAGCACTCCCCCAGTCATGCCCCCAGTACAGAACCTTCCAGGGCGGCCCTGCTCACCCAGCCCGGCCCTGCCTCAGCTCTGCCTCGCGCCTGAGGGCGATGAAGGCTGTGCACCCCCACGAAGGGAGGAAGGCATGTGGCTCCCAGGCCTTCCTTTTTCCCTTTTTAAAAATGGGGGCTATATTTGCCCTCCCGCAGTCAGTGGGAACTCCTTAAACACACTTCCACAACTTCTCAGGTATGAGGGACAGTGGCTTAGCAAGTCCACCGGTTCCCTCAGGACCCGTGGATGTACGTTGATGCACGGGGTTGTTCCCCGTGCTCCTCCCAGCCCCACGCAAATTGCCTGTGCTAACTGCCAAGCCTATCCCATTTGGGCGTCCTGTTTGCAGCGTTCCTGGGTCATGGCCCTCCCTAGGGACTGCTTTTATACTGTCACGGTGTTGCTGCCTTGGCGAGTGGCTGCAAAATGGCAGCGACACCCAATTTAAAACTCAGAACACCCCTGCAGCCCCCTCCGGCTACCAACGCCTTGTCACGTAAACCCAGTGCACTGCTTCAGGGACCACCCTCAGGGTTGGCTGAAACACATGAAACTGAGCTGCCACATCTTTCTAACGCTATTATTCGTGTTTAATAAATTCCTGTGGCTTTTCTATCTGCCCATGAACCTGCACTCGATAGATGCAGGTGTATTCTGGGTTTCCCCAGTTGCTTCGCACCTCCAATCTGATATGGCGGAACGTTTTGGGAGGCTCCTTCTGTAAAGAAAACAAGGGGAAGCATCATTACTCATGTGGGAAGAGCCGCTGCACAATTATGAAGCTCTCTTTGCCAGCACTCCCCTTGCTGTAAACCAAATGGCAGCCCCGACAGAGGAGGAAGCAAGGGAAATGAGAAGGCCCTTTCTCACCAGGGCCATAGAGGCACCCTCTGTGCCTAGAAAGCAAAGCCCTGGCCTCAGAGGCTTGCTGAGGGGAGTTGTGGAAACCCAAGCTGCTCTGCTCCCTAGGCTGCTTTGGGACACTGCTGATGGTCTTGCTTTTGGTCTTGCTGATGGAGACACGTCTGCAATCTTCCCTCCCACCAGCAATTTTTCCTCCTCGCCCTAAAGGGGACTAATTCCCTGCCAGAGCCCCTGCCCACTGCTGCTTTTTCTGCTTTACCAGAAAGAAAGGGAAAGCACTTCCAAAGGTGGGCTAACCACCTCATCTTCCCAGCAGGAGCCAGCCACATGGGAGAGCAAAGAGTGGCTTGGGTGATCATCTGAACCCTCTCTTCCAGAGACTTGCAGACAACCCGTCCTTTCTCCCTGCCATCCTGCCCACATGTACTTGCCATACCTGCACATGGAAGGTCTGAGCAATCATTCTGTCCACGTCGTAGGTGAATAGCCCAAGGAGCGTTTCCGCTTTGTCCTCATCCACTCCCTCAAAGACAAGAGATGGTGGGGGCAGGTCAGTCTCAAGCAGGCCATCAGAAAAAGGAATATGCTGAGGCCAAAGCTGGGAATCCTTTCCCACCTTCCTTGGCTCTAGCAGTATTCTAGTGCAAGTGATAGTGAACCCAAGTCAGGGCACTTGGAGCAATTGCTCCCAGATCCTTGTCTGTGAACCACAGAAGAAGGTTCCAGACGTGTCTAACAATGCTCAAGTGTCTCCAGTGCCCCTCGATAGGATGCGGTGCTCTGCAGCAACCAATCCTCATATATCTGAGGGAACACACCACGCTTTCTGGCGCTGTGTTTTCTTGGGGCCAGGGCCTCCCAAAAAGAAGTGCCAGGGCCTCCCAAAAAGAAGTGCCAGGCAGAGACTTACAGAGACAGCAAACTCTTTGGGGGCGCTGCTGACTTCTCCGGAAGGAGAGACTGCCCTGGAGATATGCCAGATGGTAAAAGCTGCTGGCCAGATTTTCACCGGCAACTGAATGACGACGTGTCCCTGAGATCCTCGGAAGGCCCAGCAGTCGCCTGGGGAGATACTGGGCTGCAACGAGAAAGCCAGTGACTGTCAGTGGCAAGGCAGTCAGAGAGCGAACAGATCTGGCTGTTCAACAAGGAGCCACAGACCTTGCCTTCTCTATAGGTCGCAATTCAGCTCACAAGTAAACGCTAGGCTATGAACAGAAGGTGAAGATCATAGAATCATAGAATCATAGAATCATAGAATATCCTGAGTTGGAAGGGACCCGTAAGGATCATCAAGTCCAACTCTTGACACCGCACAGGTCTACCCAAAAGTTCAGACCATGATGCACAAGTTTGGAGAGTGTCTAGGCTCAACTGCCTTTTGCAATCCACTTCTGCTTTCTCAAAGGCTACAGAGGCAGGGTGGTGTTCCTAATGTACATGTATGTCACTCCATCACCCTTCAAAAACTGAGCTGGACCTGTGAGGACCATTTCAGGCATTCTTCAGGCTGATTTGGTTCACCAGATCAGTGCTGGGGGGCCCAGAGAACATCTCTTGCAGCTTCCATGGCTCAGCACACCCACAGAACTCCCACCCATGCCAGAAACGCATGGTCTCCCAACCAGAAAGCAAGAAAGGAAACCAGCTGTCACAATTTCTCTTGCAATACCTGCAGTATAGTCTCTGGATGTTTTGCAAAAGAGAAGAGTGGAAAAATCCACCACTTCTTTGCGTCTTTCCCACCATAACTCTTGGAAGTCCTCTGCACATCAATTGTAGCACCTGAAATGAACATGGAAAGAAGTTCACTAGGACATGCAGGAGATTAGCAGAAGCAGTGAATTATGATGTGTTTCTCAGGCTGAATGCAGAGCTTGTTGCTTTGGGGAGTGTCAGGCACGAGCTGAGTGCAGTGAACTCTGTCTGCATACCTAAGGATTTCAGGGCCCAGTCAGGCATCCAGGTGTAGATTTTAAGCACCTTTTCAAATGCGTCCCTTGTGAAGTGCAGAACGTTCTGGAAAAAAAAAAAAAAAAAAAAAAAAAAAAAAAGAATGGAGATACAGCAGTGAGCACAAACACACAGCAGTTCTGCATGAGCAGACTTCTAGTAGAGAGCTAAGGAAGGGCTCCATGTCAGAAAACCCAAGGCAAGACCTGTCAGAAAAGGTGCCAGACTGTGAGCATTCCCAGATGAACCAAGTGAAGCCTGGAAAAGGCCACCAGTGTCCAGAGCCAAAGCATAGACCGCCTTCAGGTTCTGCCTGAGAGCCATGTTCTCCACCCTGTGTACTCTCCAGACCAGCCTGGAGATGGAGTCATGCCCTGAGCCAGCTGCTGCATGCAGAGGCCCCATTCCAGCTGGCCCGGAGGATGGGCCTGCCAGCTAAGAAGTCCGACCTGCAAGTTTCTAGCAAGGGCCTCCAAAGCCAAGCCAAGCCCAGCAGGTGCCTGCCTGGACACCCAGCCCAGGGAGAAGTTCACAGTGCTGCTCAGAGTGCAAGCAAAACTGAGCCCTGGCAGTCAGGTGTGGGGCAGGCAGCACAAGGACAGAGCTACCACCGAAAAGGGCCAAGGAGGAAGCCCTCAGAGGGCACTGAGCTCTCTGACTTGCCCCCAGCACCTTTACCTCTCTCTTCTCCCCTCGGATGTGATTATCTTCCAGAACCTTGCTCACTGCCTGCACAAACTGTTCCACTGCAGCAGACATATGGGCTTCCTTCTCCTGGAGCTCCTGCCTCTTAGGGTCATGCCAAACCAGCGAGGTCCTGGAGGCAAAGGGAAAGCAGATCTTGTCCAGCAGCAGCCCATCGGAGGAAAGGGTTCCCATGGGCCATCTACCTCCCCCCCACCCCAACCCCCTCAGCCCCTTTTCCCTTACTCTGGTTTACAAAAGGCTCCTTTCCACTACCACAGATAAAGGTCAGGAGCCCTGAAAACAAGGCAAGGGAGTGCAAAAATGGCACACAGCTGGCTGAGTCAAATCCCCAGGAAAACTTCCATGTCAAGAAAGCTCTCTTACCCGGTAGACTTGTGCTCTGCTTCGGGCACTTCTAACGTGGTCTGGAAGATAAAGACACTCCACTGGAGAAAGCATGAGGAGCACTGCCAGGGCTTCCCAAAGGAGAATGCCCCAGTAACAGGTGGCAAAATTTTCCCCTGCTTCGAGGCAGTTTGGAGAGATCCCAACCCCAGAAGTCGGGCTCTTTAACTAGCTATAGTCAGCAGAGCACCGTCTGCATTTCCATTTGCTTTCATATCCCACCCAACCTCTCCCAGCGGTACAGAGGGAGCAAACGCCTCTTCTGCCAAAGTGCTCCTCTCTTCATCCCGTCCCTGCACAGGTCACTTGGGAAGATCCGGCTGCACATTGAAGCCCATCCAGGTGCCAAGATGGACTGACCAACACAATTGCCCACCACCCACTCTCTGTCTCAGCAGTGATGAGCCTTTGACCAAACTCCTCATTTTCCACATGGACACAGCAGGGCAGAGCTGTGGCCTTTGCAGGCATTGGCTTTCCCACACCAAGACTTACTTGCAACGCTTCTTTTCCCCACAGTGTCCAGCAGTAGTCACCAGCTGTGGGTCACATCATCAAGAGAGAGTTATTTTCTTAGACTGCTAATGATCCCTGGAGCCCCATTTTCTTCTTTCACACCCACGGAGGGCTTTGGCTGGGACAGCTGCAACTGCTGTAGAGAGAGGCTTCCACCCCAGCCTCCTGGTGGTCATACTCCAGGCCCAGAAAATGGAGTTTAGAAGATTTAGAAAATGGAGGGGCCCGGCTCTGAGAGACCTGCTGACGAGACCAGTGGTGTGGTCTAGTGCCTGGAGAGCATGCACAGAGGCCATGGTTGATTCTACTCAGAGGGTCATAAAGCAAAGCTATAAAGCTATACAGAGGGAATTTTACTGGCTGCAAGCCTGTCCCTGCCAGCAGCCATACAAAGCCCCAGGCAGGCAGGAGCCTGCCTGTAAAGGACATCGGTGGCATTCACTGCATCACAGAAATGGGCTCGTCAATGGTGTACAAGGACAGTCTCTCCCCCTAGCTCTGCAAATCTGATTTTTGCAAGGAATACTCACCAAAAAGGACTGGAAGCAGAAGAAAAAGGAGCTTGAGAATCCTCCTGCCTTTCTGGTGCGTGACGCTTTTTCTAAAGGAGAGGGAAGACTGTGGTTATCACAGCCTACTTTTGGGACACACATTTTCCAGGGATCTGTTGAGGAGCTAGCCTGCCACCAGATTCCTCTGCTCAATACAGCTGAACCCCCGAGGGCCTGCGGGCCGTTGGGAAGATCTGGCTAGTGGCACACCACCCACGGTATGCAAAGGTGGCTTAAGAACTCTGGCATGACAGGGGGAAAGCAGCCTGGCCCCATTCATCTCTCCACAGAGAAGGAGCAGGGCTGTGCCCACGAAAGAGGGTTGCTGGGTTTCCTGGCTGAAGGAATCCAGGCAGCATGCAGGGTTTCTCACCTTCCCCTCCCAGCTTTCTGGGCTCTCTTGCACCTACCTGCCCAGCCTGGCTGGCATCTCCGCAGCACCAGCACACTGGCCAAAAACGGAAAAAGGGAAATAGGGAAATAGGGAAAAGTCTGCTCCCCTCCCAAGACCCAAGAAGATCCTTCCTGGGCTCCAGCTGGCTCTGGAAGCCTCTCTGGTTGGCGCCGCTGCACACCTCGTCAGTGCAAGGTTTCATACAGCTGTGACATCACAAGAAGCAACAGCTGTAATTGTAAGGTGGCGTCCCTGATGACCTCAGAGGGGCTGCCCAGCAAGGAGAGATCCTGTGGGTTAGTCCCCAGCTCTGCCTTCTCAAAGCCTAGAATCAGGGCAGTCTCCCTAGTGTCTCTACTCCATCACCCTTCAAAACCTGAGCTGGAGCTGCGAGGACCAGTTCAGTCCTGACTCGTTCCTACCGTCTTCTTTAAACCCTTCCATAGACTCTATACCATGCTGGGAACAGCAGCCCCCGCTTCGGATTGGGGTGAGGGGCCTGAGCATCTCTCTTGTCTCTGTTGTGCCTCTCCACAGGTTCCCACAATCCGCACCCCATCTGCACCCCCAGCCCAGGAAACAAGGAAATAGCGAACCATTTCATGCCAGAGAAGTCAAAAGTTATTACTGCCCAGTGCAGACCCTTCCCTCACAAGGGCCCACAGCAGGGGTGTCTCTCTGATCAGCTGCACAACCATGATCTCCTGCAGTGAAGACATGGACAACCCAGCTGTCTGCGCTTCTTCCCCCTGCTGCAGACTTCACGGGACTCAGGGTGCTGCCCAGATGGGCTTGGGGTCTCTGACAAGAGGCTGGGAGCTGCTCGCTGTCATGCAGCATTGCTTCAGGGAGTCGAGAGTTGCTCAGAGATGCTTTGAGCTGCTGAAGCAAAGGCAAAGGGCTCTCTGGAGCAGCTGTGAGGAGCAAAAAGGAGCCCCCAAACTGTCTCCCAGTGGCAGAGGGCTGCCTCTACTTTTCCAGGGTGCTGTTTGTTGTCACATTTTCTTGTTTTGTGCTTCTTGAGGGTACCTCAGGACATCTCAGGATCTCAGCTGTTCTTCTCAAAGATGCCCTTCAAGGATGCCCAGGGTTCCCAGGCTAGCAGCTCCCAAGACAGCAGACAGCTTTGCTCTGTCAGTATTTTTCCCCAAATAACCTGGTTTCCTTTATGGTGGCTCCCTTCAGGAGTGAGGTGAGGCTGAGCAGCCTGTAGTCCCTGGGTCTTTCCTCTTGACCTTCATAAAAATACGAGCAACATCTGCTTGCCTCCAGTCCACTGGCGTTTCTCCCACTCACCATGTTCAATCACAGATTGTCAAGAGTGGCCTCACAGTGACATCTGAGAACTCCTTCAGCACTTGCGTCTGCATCCCATTGGGGCCCATGGACTTGGAAATGCCTGGTTTGCTTTATATTCCTTGACCTGATCCTCTTCCACTGAGGGTAAATCTTCCTTGCTCCAGCCCTTTCCCTTGTCTCTGGGCTGTGGGATTCCTGAAGGCTGGTCTTGCTGGCAAATATTAAGGCAAAGAAGGTGTTCAGCACCTCAGCCTTCTCCCTGCGCTGTGTCACTGGGTCCCCTGTGTCTTTCAGCAGTGGGCTCACATTTTCACTTGTCTTCCTTCTGCCGTCGATGTACTTAGAGAAGCCCTTCTTGTTGTCTTTGACATTCCCAGCCAGATTCAATTCCATTTGGGCTTTAGCTTTCCTGGCATCATCCCTGGATGCTCAGATGATGCCTCTGCATGCTTCCCACATTAACCATCCTCTCTTCTACCCTCTGCATGCTTGCTTTTTCTGTTTGAGTTTGGCCAGGAGCTCCTTGTTCATCCCTGCAGGACTCCTGCTGGTTTTGTCTGACATCCTCTTTGTTGGATGTTGCCTTGCTCCTGAGCCTGGGGGAGGTGATCCTTGAATATGAATGAGTTTTCTTGGTCCCTTTTCTCTCTGGGACCTTATCCCAGATCTGCAAGCAGATCTTAGAAGAGGCCAAAGTGTGCTCTCCTCAAGTCCAGGGTTGTGATCTTGCTTTTCACCCCCAGGACCGTGAACTCCACCATTTCATGGGCACTGCAGCCAAGGCTGCCTCTGACCTGTGCATGAAGAGACGGCAGCTCCTTAAGGACATTTTTCTTAGGGAGCAAGAGTTCTCCATTCCCATGTGATAGCAATCAGGCAGCGAATGCAGGACAAAAAGCATGGCTGAGTAAGGACCTTCTAGTCAAACCACAGTGTGAGCAGAAAATCCGTAGTGAAAGATGTCCCAGCCCATTGCAGGGGCTTTGGACCCAGATGATCTTTCAAGGTCACTTCCAGGCAAACCATTCTGTGATTCCCAGCAAGCCCCTTGGTGCTGGTGAGTATGAGGTCCAGCCCAACACCTCTCCTTGTGGATTCACCTCTCCTTGTGGGTTCACCTCTCCTTGTGGGTTCTCCTTAACCCTTGGGCGAGGAAGCTGCCATCAGCACACCCCAGGACCCTCCTGGATTGCTGATGTCTGGCGGTGTGATCCCTCCAGCAGAAAGATGGGGCTTGAAGTCCCCTGGGAGGACCGGGCCCTGCAAACGTGAAGTTTCTCCTACCTATCTGTAGAGGAACTCAGCTACTTGTTTTTTTTCTGGTCAATTCCTTTCCTTTTCCAACCTCTGACCTAACACTAACAGTCCTCCACTGAATCATATCACTGAGCTCTACATCTAAATGTCTTTTAAAGACTTCCAGGGATGGTGACTCCACCACTTCCCTGGGCAGCCTGTTCCAATGTCTAACAACCCTTTCAGTAAAGAAGTTCTTCCTAACATCCAACCTAAACCTCCCTTGGTGCAACTTTAGCCCATTCCCCTTCATCCTGTCACCAGGCATGTGGAAGAACAGACCAACCCCCACCTCGCTACAGCCTCCTTTAATGTAACAAAATATATAAATGATAAATAATGTATCCAGCTATTCTATTATATATAAAAAAAATCGTTTCAACTTCATTTTCGAAAATCTTTATTGGAATTTCTTAGTCTTTCCTTATTACATGGGATAGAAAAAAAGAAGAGAGAAGGAAAGGAGAGGAGAGGAGAGGAGAGGAGAGGAGAGGAGAGGAGAGGAGAGGAGAGGAGAGGAGAGGAGAGGAGAGGAGAGGAGAGGAGAGGAGAGGAGAGGAGAGGAGAGGAGAGGAGAGGAGAGGAGAGGAGAGGAGAGGAGAGGAGAGGAGAGGAGAGGAGAGGAGAGGAGAGGAGAGGAGAGGAGAGGAGAGGAGAGGAGAGGAGAGGAGAGGAGAGGAGAGGAGAGGAATTTCAGGCTGTGTTAATCCTTTTCAAGCTGAAACAGAACACAAAGTATTTACTGAATCACACCCCAGAGAAAATGCTATGATGAGAGTTGGAATCTCTGCTAAATAATAGCCTTTGAACTGAATGTGGGGTCAGCACATGCTGTTTCAGCCCCAGAAGTGCAGTTTTCAGTGTCAAGCAGCGATTTTTTTTATAGATTATGACCATAATTCAGTTCTGTATCAAAATGTGAATTTAGATGCCTTTATGTATGGAAGGTCCCATTATTATCATCAGTGGAAGTGTGGTAAATATGGCCTGTGAAGCTTGCAGAGAGATTTGGTTAACCAGCTCTTGGATGCTTATTTAATTGAACTTTTGAATTTCCTGACTGCATTGATGAGATTTTCACTGACTGCATTGACTTGATTCTCACTTAGTAAGAGTTAAAACATCTAGTGTACCTGTAGACACCTAAAAGTCAATACCTAAACCTCAAACTTACTGTTGCCCACCTCCTAGAAGGTCTGTTGATGGTTTTGCAATGTGAAGGAAAATATGCTTCGCTTAGCAAATTTTCTGTAATAATTTGAGATAGAAACAAATTTGAGCTGCCTTCATCTTGAAATTGCTACTGAGGGAGAAAAAAATATAAAAATTCAAAAATTTGTATTTCAGTTCTACATGTCGAGTTGTACAAAACTATCATAGAGCTCTCAAATTTTAGGAAATATTGCTCTAGCTTGTAACACAGCTTGTTCTATACAATTAAGAAGTCAACAGCTACAGGAACAAGTAAATATAAAATATGCCATCTTTTAAAACAGAGAGGTCTGAAGTCTGCATGAAAACCCTGTATAAAGCTTACTCTCAATCTCTGTTAAGTTATTACAGCTGTTCAAGGATCAAAATCATTTGTTTAATTAAAAATGTCAGAACATATTCATCCCTGTACTTCATAGTGCAGGATGCTTCACAAATCCCTAAGACAGCAGTCTGCTGATTCACTGACAATTTCTGTAGTAGCAAATTTGTCAGTTTATCTGTGTCACAATAGGGCTCTAAACGCAAACAGTGGATTGTCAGTATTTTTAAATTGTTAATGTGGTTCCTGGCATGGTTTTGACCAGAATCACTCTCTCAAGCAAGGGATTGACTGATCCAAAGTTAGTTGTCAATACAATGATTTCTAGATTGTCAGCTTTCTAGTTTATGTGTCTGTTGTGTTTTTTTAAGTCTGCCATATAGAAACATATAGAATGGAATATATATATATAATTCCATATATATATGGAATATAGAAAACAGTAGTCTGACAGTTTTCAGGGAAACTTGAATTCCTTTAATTTCTGAACTTCTTTTGCTACTCATAACAGGGAAATCTTAAAAGAACATTGAACTAAACATCTAAATAAAATTCTAATTAAAATAAAAAGACTGCAAAACAAGAACAATTTCAGTTTTGAAGGCATATAAAGGGTAAAATACTTTTTAAAAATTACTGAGGCTATAGTTAAAATTAGCAAATTACAGCACTTTGGGAAAAAAAAAATGCTGGCTGAAAAAGCTTAATATAAACATTTATTAATATATCTTTATATATATCCCAAACCACAGTCTCACAGAAATTGAAAATAGATTAGGCAAGAAAGAGTTCTTATTTTTTAAAGCTAAAGAAGAAACCCCAAACATGTACAGAAATTAAATATAGAATCCTGCTGCTTTATAGCCTTCATAGAGATACAATGAAGGAATGAAGCTCACCTGGAATTGTTTACGACTGATACATAATTGAAAGAACCTTAGATAAGCACAACTTTACACAAAAATATTCATA